TCCATCCTTCCGAGGTGGGTAAAATGAGGACCCAGATTGTTGGGGGCAAATAGGCAGACTCTGTAAGCCACTTAGAGAGGGCCGTGAAGTATTGTGAAGTGGGATATAAGTCTAAGTGCTATTGCTATTTACTCCGTTTAGTCATTGATTTTTTTCACCATGTTTTCTTTTCTCCAAAAGGTCAACAGTGGCCCAGATCCCCAACTGTGGGGAAGAGAATGCCCCTCTCAAATATTATTGTTATAAATGTTCTTAAGGTGTATAAAATCCTAAGTGCTGTGGAGCGGAACATTTGTTCAGCAACTAAACAACCAACTTGATTTTGCAAATCCATGTCCTCTGTTCTTTCTACAGAAGCTACTAATTGCTATGTCTCTCTTTCAATGAAACATGAATTCAGAGCAAAGCATTTAAACGGAGCAAGTTCAGTGCCCAATTGATCTCAGCCAAACAAAGCAACAAAAGGGAATTGTAATCCCAAGATGATTGGAGCTCCCTTGTCTAATATCCCTGCCCACCAAAAACAGATGGATAAATGCACAGGAAAGCTGTACAGCAACCCAAACCATCTGCCAGGCTCATCTTTCTCTCTTTATCTTTAGCAAAATATTTTTTTCCTTTTGGTGGAGAGTTTAGCAAGAGTGATAAGATGCTACAGGATGATCAAAACTCAGCAAAGCCAGCTGTGCCATTGGCTCTGTTCAACCCAGCCTCTTTTCAGATGGCAGGTTTCAGCGCTGATGTTCAAAAGTGGCAGTATGACATTATTTACGACATTGTTCCATCACCACAGGAGGTGCGCCTTGCATTTTTTCCTAGAGGCACTAAAAATATGACTGGAAGCAGAGGCAGCCAACCAAACCCCACATCTGTTGGAGAGGAATGAATTGGCCTGGGGCCCAGACGAGCCACGGAAGGTGGGTCTGAAGCCTTTTTGTTGCTGGCTCCACTCTGAGCAAGAATGTACATTTCTGCTAATGTGTGGACTTCGATACCTTTCGGAAGGACAGCTCTACTGCCAAGTCTCCTTTGAAGTTGTACTGGGCCACTGCTTCCCCATACTCCAAGACTTGGATGGAGGGCACTTTGATGGGCTTGGGGATTTCGGTTGGAGGCAGAACCTGCATTGAGAAATGAAGCAGCAGCACAACAGGGTTATGGCTTTAATCTGGAATACAGGTTCCTAAAGAAAGAGCACAACTGAGCACCAAACATCTTTACTGGGACACCTCATTGACAATGAAAGGAGGAAAATGCTTGTGTATGCCACATTCTTGTCATCGGTGCAGGACAAGAGTGCATGACATCTGTGCATGGNTAATTTCTGAGGCTTTCCGAGGGCAAAAGCTCACACCCACGTCCACCAAAAGGAATGCAAACTTTGTCCCCTGCTAAGAGTTGTTGTGCTGGTTTTTGTTTTCTCTTCTCATTGTTTTGGCAAGCCCTGCAACAGGATATTAACTTCCCACATGGTCTAAAGCAGGAGTCATCAATCTTTTGGACCTCAGGGACCACTAATTTCTTAATTTTAAATTCCATGGACTACTAATATGAATTAGTGATGGGATGGGGGTCCATTTAGCTTGGCCACCTATTAGTGGAGAGAAGCGTCCAGGGTCCACCCTAGCTTTGCTGTCCATTGCAGCTAAGAATCTCAAATATGGCCAAGAATGAATATTTGTCCTGTAGCCAGCCGGGGCGCTAGATCACCCCCCGGCAAACTCTGGCCGACAGTTTTGAGCGTCGCTCACTGAAGCGCCTGGACTCCCAGGGAGGGAGAGAAGGGCTGCAGTTACTAAATAGGCAGCCAAGCTAAGCACCTGAAGGACCCCATCACATCAGTAAGCAGGATTAATTCTTTTGGTGGGTCCTATTTGGCCCAGGGGCCGTAGCTTGAGGATCCCTGATTTAGTGCAATATAAAAAATGCAAAGATTTTTCTGCAGACCACCAAAATTTTCTCGCGGACCACCACTTGGTGACCACTGGTCTAAAGAAGGAATGAACTCCAGCAGGTTCTGACAGGTTCTGGAGAACCAGTAGCGGAAATTTTGAGTAGTTTGAAGAACCAGCAAACACCACCTCTGGCTGGCCCCCGAGTAGGGTGGGAATGGAGATTTTTCACTATCCTTCCCCTGCCAGGCTCACCAAGCCACACCATGTCCACCAAGCCACGCCCACAGAACCAGTAGTAAAAAATATTGAATTTCACCACTGGTCTAAAGTGATGCTGTATCAAGGAAATTTCCACCATTGCAACGAATTAAACCTGTGACAGTGGGATCCACAGAGAAGGAATAAGGGTAACTCCGAGTGATGCCAGCAGTGGCACAGTGGCGCCTTGCCAGCCCCATCCATTTTTTTATATTGCATTGTTATTTTGCATGCACGCCCCGCATTATGAAAGCGGTAAGCCTGCTTTTGTAATTCAGAGGAGAATGCTAAGTGACTGCCTGTAGATGAAAGGAGGGACACCGGCCAGCAAACAGCCCCTTATTATATTTAAGCCCTGGGATAAGAAATTATGCTCGGTCTCTTACACCATACATGAGGAATGGGGAGGCGGGGGAGAACAGCATCTCACCTGTGGCGGAATGGAAGTCCGTGCTTGGGAAGTCAATACAGGAGGAAGAGGTCGTGGTGTGTCCATCATCTGAACAGATGTGGGAGGCTGGGGGCTACCACTGGGCATTTTTCCTGGGCTTTGACTCTGGGGGCTGAAAGAGCCAGCTCTGGCTGCATCCTGGATCCTGTGAGTTGGTATCTCAGGGTTTTCAAATTTTGGAGAGACGGGAAATGTGAATCCAGAGGGGGCAGAGGAGGAGGAGAAGGAGGAAGAAAAGGAGAGCAGGTCTGATGCCAGAGTGCTTGGCATGCTTGAAGGGGAAGTCTCAGAATGCCACCTACTGCCCAGACCGGGTGCATGTGCCTGGGGGGATGAGCTGGCATGGGCTGGGAGGCCCGGGGAGGGAGGATATTCCTCCGAATTCTTCACCCTGGGCTCTTTCGCCACCTGGACATAGTTGGCGGGGAAAATACCCTGGCGGTTTGTGCCAGAGATGCGACCTTCATACCAGTTCTCGTCTACCTGACGGACGAGGCAGATACGTTCACCCTGGTGACAGAGAAAAGAAAACAAAACAAAAGTTAGCATACCGTGGGAGTAGGTAAGGAGAGTCCCGAGGCTGAAATACACACCCAAGCAGAGATTGTCCGTCCTTCTCAACAACCACTTTGAAGCTAAAGGCCACCCAGCTTGTTCCAGGCACAATAGGCTCATCTTGATATTTATTTGTTTGTGTGTGCATGTGTGCGTATATGTGCATTTCTACGGCCTCCTCCTATATCCACAGTGGGATATGGGATGTAGGATGGGAATAGCCTCTTGCAGCAGTAACTCTGGGTGGTGTACAACATTAAAGCAATGACGACTCCTTAATTCACACCACAACATCATGAATGAAATATCTGAAAGATCTATGAACCAGGCCACCTGTTACCTTACCATACTTGTCTCTATAGCCTCTTGACTGGCTGAGTAACTACAACCAGTTTATTTATTTATCCGTTTATTTATGTACTTTTTCACCACATTTTCTTTCATCATGGTGGCACCGTGGTTAGAATCAGGGATGGGGTTCGGACCAGTTCGGGTGAACCGGTAGCTCTGATAATCAGCTGGGAGTGAACTGGTTCACCCCGAAGATCAGATGGGCCCACCTTCCTGCCCATGCTATTTTCCTACCTTTATCTTTTTAGCTGATTCGCATGGCAGAGCAGCACCAATCAGCTGTGTTACTCCTCCGAAGAAACCCAGAAGTGAAAATTTCTTCGAACTGTGCATGCACGCAAATTCCGCTATCACCGAGCCGGTTGTTAAACTGGGAGGATCCCACTACTGGTTAGAATGCAGTACTGCAGGCTATGTCTGCTGACTGCCGGCTGCCTGCAATTTGGCAGTTCAAATCTCACCTGGCTCAAGGTTGACTCAGCCTTCCATCCTTCCGAGGTGGGTAAAATGAGGACCCAGATTGCTGGGGGCAAATAGGCTGACTCTGTAAACCACTTAGAGAGGGCTGTGAAATACTGTGAAGCGGGATATAAGTCTAAGTGCTATTGCTGTTGATTGATTATTTGTTTGTTTGATT